TCTGTTATGTTTATGGTCATTTCCTTCACGGCCATCATCTCTTATCTTCCTTCGTGGATACTTATAATGATTGAGACCTATAACCCTGGTTTCTGGGAAGGACTCTCGAGTCCACTTTTTGAAATTTGCGTCACCCTTAGACGGATGTATATCTTAAATCATTTGTCCAATCCATTTATATATGGTATTTATGATCTTGAATTTCGACAGCACACTAAAACTATAATGAGGAAGTTTATGTGTAAATGATGTTTATTAATTAATTTTTATTAACAGGTGAACATTTTTGAAAAAACAAAAACATTTCAAGTTTATTTATTCATTCAATTTGCCTTAAATAGAGGCTCAAATTAACCTTCCATCATTTTTGTTTACACTTTGCTTAATTTAATTGTAATTATCATCAATATAAAAGAATCTTGTCTTGCATATCAGTAGTAATTTTAGATACATTGTATGTTGCATTGGGATCTCAAAAAATAACATATGGCTGAAAATGTCACTTACTAAGTATAAAATTAATTTAATTAATAGTTTTTTTTTATTTTTAACGAACAGTTATCAAGCTCAATAGTCCATTGTAAAAGCAAAATAAATCTGACGCAAACAAAACACAGAGCTCTCAATTTATCAGACATGGGAGCACTTGTCTTAATCTTATTATTATTATTATCAGAGAAACAAAAAAATCATTGCAAATAATGACTTAACAGTTAGTATGAAAATTGTCAGACAGCATTCAACTTCATGATACATTATTAACAACGTAAGATTTCTTTCTTTTTTATAAATATATTTTATTTCCTCGTTTCCTTACATGTATTTATTTGAGACAACTTTTATAAAACTAAGCTATCTTACAAAAAAAAAATAGTCAAAGGTTTCTCTATAGTATATGCTCAAATTTTAATTGTGGAGAAACATAAATGCAGTCCAATTAATATTTAGGTAAAATGGCCCAATGGCAATCGAAGTAACTACAGATATGGATACGAAAGCAAGCATGATGTGCAGCTGTGGTTAAATGTTGTGTTACATTATCATTTAAAAAACCTAACTCAGCTGCTTAATCAAGCAGTCAATAAAAAGATAAAATGTAACTTTCGAAAATTAATAATTTATTGAAAACTATGAATGAAATGAACTGTTATAATTAAGTTGTTATGATCCTCATACAGTGATCCATTTGAGCCGCTTCTTCACCAAGTCCCCTCTCAGCATCAGTTGAAAAAATCTAAACTTGTTGAAGGTGAATAATAACAGTAATTTTTTTTACTCAACAATTATTATACTAATTTTATCGATAAATAATAAAAACAAAGCATGCGTGTAACACTGGTATTCATGTAAAGAATGTGTATTTGGTTCCTGAAGTAAAATAAAAGAAAAAAATTCAAAATTAAAGTTATTTTTGTCATATCTGATGTTGTCAAATTACAAGAATTGGTATTATTTTTAACTAAATGTGGTAAAGAAGAAACAAATGAAACTAATTGGGATTATAATTGGATGCCTACTTCGCCGAAAGATGGGTTAAACCATTCAGAACCAGAATGCAGTTCTAAAAATGAAATTAAGGGATCGAGAAGATATGAGAGTCGTGAAAAAGGTTTAAAAGGACACACCCCTAATAGACGATGGCAGTGGAAAGATTCTTCTGGAAAATGGAACGAATACAGTGATGAAATAAACGATAAAATAGAAGACTGTTACAGAAGAAAACCTGAATCATCGGTTGTCATTGACTTTAATGGACGTTTGTAAGTAGTTCTTACTGCTGAATACGTCTAAAGAAATAAAACATAAGAAATACATTTAAATTGAACGATTTTGTTTATATCCTGAAACGTATTTTAACTACAGCATGTTTTATTATCTTTTTTGCTTAACCAACAATGTAAACACGTCGTATTTCTTTATTTTCATAGATGCAGGGTTATATTTCTAAAGAGGAAAGAAATTGATACGCTTTCGAAATCAACAACAGATATAAGAAGCAATGAAGATTGTTAAAAATACTTCAGTATTGCTATGAGCTATTGACGTCCTTGATATATGTGTAGACATACAATGTGAATAAATTTAGAACTTCACTGCCTTGCTTTTCATGAGATACGAAGGTCACTAAAAATCAGAAATCGTCGTCGTTCTTCTTCAAATTATTTCTTTGAATTTTAATATCAACACTTAATGTAAAGCGTAAAACCATTAAATATGTGCAATTTCATTAGTTTAACTGGAACTCGTATAGTTTTAAAGACTTTATGTCTTGTCTCCACACATGTTTGAATTCTAAGTAAATAATTTTTTAATCTATTTTATCTCATACGTGTGGATGATACAGCCCGTTGGATAAACCTATGCTTTATCATAGGGTAAATGCTTTATCAATAGCACTTCCGGTACGATCTCTCGCTTCAAGATTTTATTTTGATACTTTTATTTGTGAAAATTCTTGCCCTTATAAAATGAATGATAAAGAACAATGATGTCGTTAAATGCAAGAAAAAGACTCGAATATGTCACAGAAGTGTCTTATTTTAAACAGGGGAGTATGCTGACTTAGCCATATGTCAACATCAATTTCAATATTTTATGAATTCTACAGAAAAATGCATATTTCGTCGATATTTTCAAATTTTAGCGCATGTGTGTTCATCAATATTTTGATATAATGTGTAAATGATAATATCAATGAAATTGTAAATATTGTTAGTTTTGCAATTTTAAAGCTGAAATTGTTGAATTTTGTCCATTTTGTCTCAAAGTTTTGATAAAACGAAAGTCGTATGAGATAAATAGAACATCTATAATTGTGTGATTTGATATTGACTTTATCCAACTCGTTGAAATGGTGAATATTCGCTCGGCAAGCCTTGCGAAAATAAACACCATTTCAACTCGTTGGATAAAGCCAATATCAATTCACACAATATAGATATCCTCTATATATGTAATATGATTTGATGTTTCAAATATTATTTGAATTCATATAGTGCATTTCAATCAGCTGTGACTTTTATATGACGATACATGAAACATTATGACAAAAATCTTCCGTATATTTCTAATAATCTTTGTACATTTTTTGAAGCTAAATTCTCTTGATAGATAATGAGATTAAAATTATATTTATGTGTTGGTCTGTATTAAAGCAGTGTCAGTATCTTCGTCATAAAAGTGTAAAAATATATTTTAACGTACAATTTTCATTGAATTTCTTTTATTAATTAATACATTAGAAAATAGGAACATTATTTTACGTATACGACACATGTTACCGTTATCAATCACGTTCCATTATTAAAAAAAAAATAATTGTAATATGTTATACACTGTGAGATACCATTATTTTTTGCAAAAATTCGTTTAAAATAAAAGTAAGCATCACATGATTGACAAGAGTAAAGAATAAGGTTCACGAATGTCCTTTTTTTGGCCCAACCCGGCGTGTCGGTGCCTATGATGTTATAAAGCCTTTATTGTCAAAAAGCTTTTGATAAAGATACAATCACTACATTATCAAAAGTGCCGAAAATATAAAATCAGTTAAATTATTACAATAAGCAAATTTAATGTTTGGACTTTGTCATTAAGGTTGGCGCATCGGCTTAATAAACGAAATCCAAGTCAAGATGCACATTGCATTTTGATGATGCTTTTTTGTCATAAAGCTGAATATATATCTGTGTATTCCGTTCTAAATTTCCTGTTTATAGCTATGGACTTACAAGGAAATTTTTTCATTATAACCAAACTGAAGCAAATATAAAGAGACTTGAAGCTTTTATACATAAAACGAATAAAATGGTTACGATTCCTGTTTCGATGAATAAGTGAAGACACATTTTTCCTATGGCTGGTCGTATTGAGGAACGTTCTCTGGCAAGAAGATTAAGTAGAGAAGCTAAGGAGCGTAAGTAATTATCCTATACTCAAGTGAAAAGATATTCAATCGTGCTTTACATTTTATATCAAATTCAGAATTGTAAACTCGTATTTTTTTTTTACTTTTATATTTGTAATATATGTATCTTCGGAGGCCCTAAGCTATGGTCCTAGACTCGTGCCCCTTTTATTTTCCTCGTTTATCTCGCAAACTTTTGTCCCCTGCTTCACCAAACATCGTCAGAAAAGTTTTATTTGGATTGCTTTTGTAATATATTACAACTGATGATGATGATATGGATAAAGCAGGTAAAAATATGGCCTAAAACAAAAATTCACCCCAAATAGCATAAATTCGCTACACATCAGAAAATAAAGTCTAAAACAGTTTTTTTTCTTATGGTCTATCTTAAGTATATTGATGCTACTATTTGCATTGTTTATATTACCTCAACAGAAATCACTTAATAAATTCGATTCGGGATTTTTGGCCCATATAATGTTATATCCGCTGAGGTGATTACCTTAGCACCTCTTATTCATTCAAAATGGCGCTAGGTAAACATATGTATGTTGAAGTTGAAAGAAATATAGAAATCAATAAAGACATGATTTATCAATTTATTTGAAAGTAAAAGGTATCTATTTCTTTACTAAGGTATTACTTACTAAATGAAAAAAAAACAGTATTTCAAATTTATTTATTTATACCTGTCTGCCTTCATTTAATAAAAAACAATAACACCCTTTCAAGACTAAAATAAGTCATTTATTACAATAGATAATAAATGACAGTAAGGAAAACACAATCTTAATTCAAATATACATGAAAGTAAAGGTTATATACATATAAAAATACAACTAAAGTATTATTACAAATTGCCGAATCACAAAATTTGCCCCTGAGACAATAGATGTGTCATCTGACATATTATGACCAATGAAAAATCATGGCATATCTGGCATATTAAATGTAGACAAAAATATTGTACAACGTGTGAAAAAACAGTATTTCAAATTATTTTACTAAACGGACATTATCAGATAAGGGTAATGACTCATGGATCTCCGATGATAATATATTGTCCTGACAAAAAATTCACCATTCATTCTGATGACAAAATTGCACCTTGTATTTAAACGTTCAAAAATAATTTTAGTTTGTCACAGTACATGTTCATCTACTTTATAGCATTTTTCATATATACAAAACTTATTGCAATTTTCAGCATAGCTAAAAAAAAAACTCAATGATATGTCTTTTTGAAACAATAAAATTATAAAATCATTTATTCTATTAAAGTGAATTGGAGATGATATTAATTCATTTTGAATATATGTTTATGAAGATGGCAAAAGAAAACAAGCAGAAGGTCGTGGGGCATGCAATCTTTTCATATTGGATACATCAGAGAGCATGAAAGGAGAAGGGTGCCGACAAATGAAGAAGGCTTTTGCCTCCATTATAGAAGGCATATAAGTTTCAGATAAGCTCTTTTGTATTATTTTTTGTTGTTGGTTTGTTGTTGAGTAGGATTTCTAATAAATAAAAGAACGGTTAAACAAAATACGTTTGTTTATTTATAGGATACGCAAGACATTCATCGTTGGATGAAAATGTTGCCGTGATACAATTTGGAACAGAGGTGAAATATCTGCAATATTTTTCCAACAACTATGTTTCCTTGATGGGATTATTAGGTCAGAAAATTTCAATTTTAATTTGCTTAGAATTTTACGACCTTTCGTAATAAAAAAAATCTGTTATATAATTTCGAATGATTTCTGATTATTTTGATTTTAAATAAATTGTTTTTATTCAATTCAAATTCATAGATGATTTGTCATGTTCTGGGCCATCGCCAATGATTGAAGGTTTCCTTTTAGCTATTCCTGCCCTGAAAAATGGACGTATGTTTCCTTAACTATTTTAATATTGATATTTTTAAAAGGCTTTATCAAAACAAATAAAAAATAAACTTATTCTTCTTAAATGGTTTCGTTTAAGGAAATATATGAGATATTTCAAAATAACAAACAGTATTCTGGTTCTTAAGTCGATCATCAAACAATACAAAATTGGAACAGAGCAAACACGGACCTCCAAAACATCAAAGGTAGAATCACGTACCATGAAGGAGTGAGCATCTCATGCCTACTGGTCACGCCCGCCGTGCGTCCCCTGTCGGGAAAAACTGTTTAAACAACGAGATTCTGTTTTGTAAAATAAAAATCAAATGTCACATTTTTTCATAGATCGATTCACCAATATTGGTCCATTTAACTGTAGAGCTAGAGTGATACTTATTTCTGACGGAAAGGCTACTTCCTCGACTGACTCCGGCTCAGAATATCGTGCTTCGGAAAATGAAGATCAGGTTTTCAAAATTATTCTTGTATTATTCAATATTATTTCATACAACTTATTGACTTTAAATTAAAGAATTTTTTTCAGAATATTCAACTTTTGGACCTTGTACGGCAAATAGGAATTTATAATCCAATTACATGCATACCTGTCGGAAACGATCCTAACATTGTATGTATAGCTTTCACGCTACTAATAAAGATTTGTAACGCATTTCCACGGAACAATTTGTCTGTAACTAATCACAGAAGATAATGATCATAAAATGAAAATTTTTATTACCGAAATGATGTGTATCTGGTGAAATGATTTCAATGTATTTTAAAGTAATTATCACTAATAATACATATAAGTGATCATCAATGCATACTGAACAAAGAGATCATCCTTATATTAATAACAGTGTTTACTGGGGTCCATTGCCTATGGATCTCGAGGAGGAAAAATTCTACATTATGAAGAAGCCAAACAATTTGCAAAATATTCATTAAACATGGTAAAGTACTCTTTATTTTATCAAATTTTAAATCGATGTGCCAATAAAATTTTGTTTACGTTTTATTCCTTACAAGACTTCAAAATAGAAGAATTAAAACTTTTCTTACTTATAGATGATTGCTGGGGACATTCTTGGTGATGTACCGCCTACTTCTTGCACTATTGATGACGTGAGATCCTTTGTATATTCTACAAGATTACACCATGTGGTGACAGAAAGGGACCTGGTAAGTTATAATTACACTTTTTTTTAAATACAGGCAAGTTTATAAATAAACATTTGCTATCGAAAGGAGGCGAATAAATCGTTATCTAAGGTTGTCTTTTTCCATAGGCTTATTTAAATTGGTTCAGTTTGAAACAATTAAATACAATTTTTTTTTTATTTTTACAAGTATATGTTCACTAGTGTTTATTCGTTTAAATCATCACCGTAGATTATTTCCATGTTGTACAAAGTTGTCTATTTATGTATAATTGCTTCACAAATTAGGAAGATGTGGTGGAGATTTTAAACAATAGGCGTGTGTATGAAATGAATGTATATTTAAATGAAGAGCAGTTGGAGCGCCACGTGTATACTGAACGTGATGAAAGACTACCACCACCAGGAACAAGAGTACGAAAAGGTCCACGTTGGGCTTATAACGATCAGAACTCCGGTGGATTTGGCACTATAATAGGACATTGGAGCCGTGGTAAGAATTGTCGAATTTCTACAAGAGAAGATTTCATTTCTGATTTTCTGAATCAAGTTTTTTTTTACCTATACAGATGGATGGGTGAATGTTGAATGGGACAGTACATTAAGGTTTCCTTATAAATTTGACCCCGGTGATCAGAGCAAATGTGGCGTCATCGTTTGTGATGAACCTCGAATACTACGAAGAGAAGATATAGCTGTAGGATGTGTTGTTAAAAGAGGTAAATTTTATAAAATTGCTTACCTTGTTCTTATGTGTGTGTTCGTTACCTCCTTCTTTCGATATATTTATTGTTTAAAGTGAACGCTTTATGCTCGGCTGCTGAAACTGTTTCTTTTGTTCACGAAGACAAATGTTTTCGTTCTCATCTACAAAAGCTGCTTCATTCTTACTTAACATGAAGATCACATTGGCTATTAGGGATACTTTTTCGATTAGTTTTGGTGCAAAACTGAATAAATATGATTCTTTTATAATAGGACCCGATTGGAAATGGGGAAACCAGGATGGCGGTACAGGCAATATTGGAGCTGTTTATAGAGTGAACGAAGAAGTGGTCTATGTAATTTAAAATTTTTTAATTCCGGATCAAATAAAATACGATGTGTAATTTCATCAGGTCATATCAGTTGATAAAGGTATTAATAAATAATTTTCATAAATGCTTTTAAAAATTAAATTAGACTTCAATTTACATGTACTTAGACGTTTTCAATGTTTTTTCTAGGTACGCTGGCCAAATGGAAACAAAAGTAATTACAGATTCGGTTATGATGGAAAATTTGATCTTGAAGTTTGGTAGGTGTTTTATAAAAATAAACATAAATATTCAGACATTTGCTTTCCGGTGACGGTATAAGCATTTTCGGTTCACCTTATATAGGTGACGAGAATTAATTTTTATATGGCATTTAATAGAGAGAGTTTCTACAAATGAATATTGGTAACATTTCATGATTATCCAGTGGAATAAATTCTTCATTTTTATTATCATAAATTCAGATAAATTACTTTAACTTGAAAGGAACTGATTTTTAGGACAAAAAGGCAAACTGCATCGCTCAAAAATGTTTCTAGTACTAGTAGTATCATATATATATATGCCTTTAAATCGAATGCAAAAGCTAAGAAAAAAGAAGTGTAAATTAAAGGAACTACATTTAAGTTTTTTAAAATTCTTTATAATTTATGTATTTAAGTGATCCCTTTGACGTAGACAGAATCGTATCATCTCATAAATGCAAAAATCTTTCGAAATGCACCTGTAACAGAGATTTTGGTGTCAAAAATGGAATTCAAGGTAAAACGAAAGAACAAATAAAAGAAAAAGATTAAAAACATGGGAAAGTTAAATGGTATAACTTCATAAATATTGCTCTCATCTACGGAAGCCCGTTGAGGCCAGTTCAGAGAAAGGAATACTTTTTATTGTGTTTAATTGCAATAATTATTGCGTTTAAACGCAAAACATTGCGATTAATCGCAATAACCATTGCGTTTAATCGCAAAAGATTGCGTTTAAACGCTATAATTATTGCGATTAAACGCAATAAAAAATATTTCTTTCTCTAAACTGACCTCAACGGGCTTCCGTACATATCAAATATTTTGCTTTTTATTTGTTTGCTTATCAGTAAAACTAAGGTTGAAATAAAACGTTTGCTACTCCGTTTGTCCATTGTTCAATAGAAAGAAAGGAAATAAAACTAGAATCATCTGAAAAAAGAGAAAGTGAAATTTCAATGGATGGTAAACAGAGAATACATTCGGAATCCATGGATGATTGTAAAGAGGATGAAAGTGATTTTTCCTTTGAATGGAAAACCGAAAATGGTCAATGGAAACGCTTTTCAAAGACGGAAAATCAGAAAATTATTAAAGCATTCGTGAAGAATTCAAAATCAACAATACTAATGAAAATTGGGGAACAAATGTATGTTTTAAAGACCATTCTGCAGTTCCTTTTTGACTATAATGTGCTTACATGTAATATCGTTCTTGTTTTTTACCGATTCTTTTATTTTTGCTATATAGGTTTAGCATGATATTATCGAAGATGATGTTGCTGAATATTTTAACAAGAGAGACATATGATGTGAGGTGCCGTGAAAATATTCATTATCTACAAGCTTGACTTTTTTGTAAAGAATTCTAAAATAATTTAGCGAGCAATAAAATCATTGACTTCACTTGTAAATGTCTGTATTTACATTTTATTCTCATTATATTTCCTGTAAATTGATATCTAAGTATTTAAAGTATTCTGTTGTGATGTACACAGAAAAGTAAAATATGGAGAAAAACGTGTTGTCCTTAGATTTAAGTAGCATCCATTGTATTTCAAGAATTTAAAGGAAAATAATTGAAATTGTCAAATTATGATTTTTACGAAGTTTGTCACTGGTGTATACATTTAAAATTTCTTATGTTCAGACTTTGCAATTTATGAATTATCATTAATATTTGTGAATGAAAGCAAAGTCTGTGTTTTAGTTCACCTTACGAACAGTTTTGAAAAGTGCTTAATCTGTATTGTTACCCCAAAACAATCATATACAACAAAGAACTAAGGCAACGAACCATGAAATTTGGCTTCATGCTTACAAATGTAAGGTTTTCTTGAAATGCACAATGCATTACATGTATTTATTTTTAAATAAAGGGGGATTGTTAAAGTTTCCTAGCAATCCAAAATTTTTAAAAATAGTTATCTCAGTGTTCACCAGGAATTAGTGAGACAGCAATAGATGACATAGAATTTTGTTTTCTCAAGAAATATATAGTCAGGTACCCTGTAAAAATCAGCAGAACGTATATTTCAATGTTCTTAATTAATCAATGTCTTGTTTATTGCAAAGGTCATTATAAAAAATTTTTTTTCCAACGTTTCCAATTGTGGTAGATGTTCCAATTATACCCAAAAACCTAGAATCCTTATACATTGTATGTACATTTAAATACTGCAATTGTTCATTTCCGGGACTCTGACAGCAGGAGAAAATGATTTCTTTTCTGGAAACGCAGGGTTTTGTCCAAATTCATGATTATCATTTATACAATGTCACGCATCATAACAGTATTGAAGGTATTGGAAGTGTTTTTAAATGGAAAAATATTAATAAAAACCTTGCAGTCATGGCCCTGAAATATCAATGGGTTTTTCTCCTCTGCCCTCCCAGCTTGTTGTCAGCTTTTCTTGGTTGTTTGCTTATGCAGATGTAAATGAGTCATACATGCAAAAATAAACTTTGATTATCAAAGGATCATTTTATGTCAACATTTTCACCGACCATAATGTGTCGTCTAAATCTAATCGATACATATTTCGTATAATAAGCTATATAAGTTCTAACTGAACATTGACACCTATGACATTTTAGTACCATGTAGCTTATCTAATAAGTGTAAAAGTACTTCCCTCTTTAATATGTTGGCATGCACTGCAACGTGAATCAAAGCATTTATTGACCATGTATGAATTCCTTTGTTGAAATAAAGATTTGCACAATATTCTCCGGATGTTTTAAGGATGTCTTTTACTGTTGATGACTTCATATTTTCCCAGTAATTTAGACATTTTCTCATCAGTCTGTAGAATGCTGTTAAGGTGACGCACTGTACGTATAAGGATGTCCCAAAATGGAATACTTTGTAAACTGTCTTCCATCGTGAAGTTGATGTCAGGATCTAGAGCGTTTATAATATTTAGGAAAGCTGCTAGATTTGCTCTAATTCCAAATAATAAAACAATCTTCATAGTATCTTTTCCAATTGTTCTTAATATTTTCTGAAGCATGTTGGTCAAAGTACTGATTTTTTTTTTTTCATACATCTTTCCCTCTGGATATTCTAGTTTAATGGTGGCATAAGTAGGGACCTTCTTAGTTCCCATTGCTGTTGCATTCTTTTGTGCATAATGCTTGTCATTAATAGAGAAAATATTATTTTAAAATACTATCTTACTAGCCTCTAAGATGAAGTCTTTGTTGAAACGGCCATTAATTTTTTGTGGATATTTGATCAATCCAGCATTCAAGCATTGACACCAACAGAAATAGTTATATAAGTGTGCGAATTGGTAACATCCATTGTGACTAGTTTGGCATCATGACTAACGTTACAGGTACATGCCTCAGAAAATCCAGATCATCACGAACATAACATTTTACTACTAAACATAAAGGTTTCAGTATTATGTCCATAAGATGACTCAGCCTTTGTGTTTGAGGATTTGGTCCACGCACGATAGGTCTAAATGTAAGGTCATCCGGATCGCTGCATGCAATGTATGCAGAGTTTTGTACTTTCCTTAATTATTTTAGATTTGTGCATCTTAGGAGGTCCATAAAAGGCACTTTTTCTGAAATCAAAATTTCTCTGAAATTCTCTTCTTCGGCTGTTCAAAAGGATTGTATTGCGGATTTTAATCAAATTTTTAATTCTTCGAACTGTCTTTTTATCACTGTTTTTTTTTAATATCTCACCGTAAAACTCTCTGTCATTGAGCATTTGTAATATCTTTTTTGTATTATTCTGCATTCATAACTACTACTGCCTCTCCCTTGTTTGCGCCTTTCATTACTATTGAACTATCGTCTGTCAGTGATTGAATAACTTTTTCCTCTTTTTTTTTTCGTAAATTAGTTTTTGTATTATATTTTCATTCCTTAGAGGTATATTTTTCAAACTGTTACAAACGGTGTCAAGGAGACAGTTCCTTCCTTTCTTTTGATTGAAATTTGATTTGTTCCTTACAAGATCACTTTCAGACGTGCTGTCGTCTTTGTCTTCTTATGAAAATACTCTGCTAGTCTTAGTTTTATTGAATATTCCTTGATTTTCTTAAATAATTCCGGAAGATTAGAGTCATTTGGTGTTGGTGTGAATTTTAATCCTTTTGATAGTAACTTTATTTCAGCTATGTAAAATGGCACTTCAGCCATGTAACATGGCACTTTCATCCAGAACACTTTCGCCTACTGGCTCTTCAGTGGATTTTGAATATTGTTAATAACAACAGCAACATGAAATGACAACGTCGTGATTTTGATGTCATAGTTAAAATGACCGTTCCACAAAGATCGTGTAACAAAGTTCAAATTCTCAAACGTGGAAAAGACAAACTCAATATGTTCAGAAAAAGTAAATAAAAGTTCAATAAATAATCACAGAGGGAATTACAAGCAATACTATAATCTTAATGACAATCAGTACTGCATAAATTATATTGTATCAAGCAGAGAATTTTTGGCTAAATTTTAACTAATTTATTTTGAATCATCTACATAATTTATATACATGATAAAAATTTATTGATTTTTTGGGGAAATTTATATATAAGGACGATTTTTAGTTACAAATGAATTTTTAGCTCACCTGAGCTGAGAGTTGAAGTGAGCTTTTCTGATCACCCATTGCCGTCGTCCGACCGTCCTTCTATCTGTTTCTCCGTCTGTAAACTTTTCACATTTTTAACTTCTTCTTAAAAACCACTGGGCAAGTTTTAATCAAACATAGTACAAAGCATCTTTAGGTGAAGGGAAGTTTAATTTTTAAAAGGAAGGACCAAGTCCCCTTCCAAGAAAAGAAAAACAAATATTGGGTGGGGTCATTAACACTGTGCCAGAAAAAAGTGAAATTAATATGGAAGTATCCTGGGGGTAGTATAGATTCTAAAATGTTTAAATCATGACCCCCGGTGGTAGGGCGGGATAGTAATAGGGAATCCAAATTTTACATTGAAATATATTTTTAAAAAATCTTCTTCATATATCTTCTTCTCAACTACAGTGTACTATTGGGCCTGAAAAACTAAAAATATATGGAAGCATCCTGAAGTTGTATAGATTCTTAATTGTCCAAATGATAACCCCCCAGGGGTAGCGTGGGATCATAATAGGTATTACAAGGGAGATCTGGTCACGAACAGCATGGCTGAAGTTACTCAGGGAAGCGATGTGGCCCATGGGTCTCTTGTTATTTTTGTCATTTTCCAAACCAATGTCGATATTTCACTTTTTGGTTCATTCTAACAAAAAAAAAACTCAATCTCTTCAAGTATTTGTGAAATACGTGTCTTCGCATAGCTACTTTTTCTGGCCTCTTATTATCTATAATACAAGATCAAGAAATAATTTTGAAATACATGATTGTTCCGATATAGATGTTTGGATTAATTCAAAAAGTATGCAGATAAATATGACGATAAGTCCAAGGACGATAAATGATAAATCCAAAGTGGCATTTATTAATACTTCTGGATCATCTTTCATTCACTCTTTGAATTACAAAATACACTATTATCTGCAAATGAAAAAAAATACATGATGGTCTTAAGTGATACAATCCCAAGAAAGTGTGTTTCTACATTATTACATTTAGATTTAGAAAAGGGAAATGAATCATTCCTGTATTTAATTACTTTCTTTATTCTAAAGGAAATATTTAAACTAAATTTAGATTACTGTAAAATCACATATTTTCGTGGGTAAATTTTTCCTGGTTTGAGGAAATAATATGGGCTTGTGAATATTTTATTGATTAAGAAATGTTGAGTAGTAATTTATAAGACATACTACGTGCATTTCGTGATGGAAATAAATTCGTTGGCCTTTTCATACCTCGAAACAAAGAACACTTGCCCCAAAAGCATTCATGTGAGATATAAGAATGAGTTTTATCACACGACTCGACTGATAAGGGTTCGTTTTAAACAATAAGAGTAAGTATCTATATTTTAACTATTTCTCAAGACATATCTTTTTTTTTAATGTTTATCGACAAGCCCTATTAAATCCAAATTCAAAGAGTGCTAACAATATAGAAATTTAAAAGCATGAGTTGTTTTTTAAAGACTTTTAAAACAAAAAATCAGTTGGTCAATATTCATGTTCACTGCCATTAAACTCAAATTCAGAAGCTATATTAGTATGAATGTTTGTGTTGCATACACAATGCAGAAGAAAAAACATAAACCTACAGTAAACAAAATTATATCCTAAATTTTCGTGTCGTTCCTTAATCGTTGTAATCTGTGCAATATGTCTTTGTCGAGTGGAAACTTATCCAATTTTTCTTCTTTAAATGTACAAATCTTAAGTTTTACAGTAACGTGTATTGCCTTTACTTCATGACAGCATTTAAAATCTAAACCAATTTAATTTCTATATATGATTAAGTAACTTTTTCGAAAAAAAAGTTTGATTAGACTTTCCGTATGAACTAAAGTACCTGAACAACTTGCAATGCTTTACTGAAGAAATATGTCTGTAAAATCCAAGTGCATTGTACCTAAAGATTTTAATACTTTTAGATTTAATTTAGAAAAATATATTTCGCTTTGTCGTGAAAATACACATAATAATGCATACAACATAAAACTACTTTACCATCAAAACACTATTTAAAGATACATGTAGATTTCATAGCTATGTTACAGTTGTACTAAGAGTTTAATTGAAGCTTCAAATCTAAGTCTGAAAAAAGAAAATCACAAAATCAAATATCAAAATTGAATATACTTGTTTTTGTTGTGAAAATACACGGAAATGTATATTGAAACAATGGTATTTTGCTCAGATTTGTTTTTGTATTTTATTCTAATCCATCTATGACATAGTTCAATAAAAATATATGTAATATATTTTATAGGACACAAAGAGGAAAGTTGTTTCATTTTAAATTTCCTGCTAAAGTGGTTTCATGCGCAAATAGCTTCAGAAGTAAATTAGAATATTTTGAGGATTGAAAAGAAATGCTAAAACGACTTTTTACAGTCTAAGCAAGGTCTTTTATAGTTTTAATTTTCCATAATCTAATGGCCGGCTTTCTGGGTGATTTAAGTGTAGGAAAAAGTTTGCGGATATCTACGGAAGAAAGTAAGTTAAACAGATATGTCTTTTTGATAGCTTTGTACTGTTTTACAAAGTCTTCGTCAAGTTAACACTCTATTAGAAATATAGATAAATAAGCCTTATAAGACAAATGTTTTGTATTTATACGATTTTGTATTTAAGGGTAGGTTTCAATTGTATTGTGTTGATGTTTTACTTAGTGCGATATATTTGCAATCTGATTTTTTTTCTCTTTTGACACAAAACCTTTAGTGTACACATTTTGACTATTTTATGCATATGTATAATTTGTAGATTGGAGAGAAAAATATAGTCTGGAACATGGTGTGAGTAATATCTTCATACTAGATACATCGAAGACCATGGATGGAGAAGGCTTTACTCAGATGAAGAAAACATTTGTTTCAATGATTGAAAGTAATCATTTATTTCACGAAGCCATTTCAAAAGCTATTTAAATTGACAGATAGAAGCAAATTTCACACATTTATTGATTCATACATAACGTCATTATAACAATTTACATAGGTTACTCTTTGCAACCAAATTGGAATGAACAAGTCGCAGTGATACACTTTGGAAAAGAAAATAAATATCTTCATTATCTTTCCAACAATTACGAATCTTTGAAGCGAGTATTAGGTCAATTTTTTAAATAATTCATGTCTTACTAAAACTTTTCAAATATACTAACTCTGCAAAGCTACTAATTAGATTATCTTTATCCTTTTATAAACTTTATCATCAAATCTTTACTAAATTTTCCCTGCTCTTTGCGACAAGTAGGTAGGTATTTTTATACTTCCTATCATACCTGTTCTGAATTAAAAATATTTTGTAACAGTTGCCTTTACAGCAAAACTCGGTTAAAACGAAGTCACTTGGATCTATGAAATTGCTTCAATATATCCGGAAGATGTTCTAACCGTATAAGAAATCTATTCAATTTATAAGCTGGGGATTCAAGATGACTTCCCCATATCTGTGAATCCGCAATATCTGTGTTTGTATTAAAGGAGATTTGCTGTATTCCTGTACTTACCTCTCAATAGTGCATGATCCAATGTCTGATGATTTAGAAGTTCTTATTTGCTTTTGCTCTGCTTTTGATTTGTATTGTTTAAATGGTATTTGAACTCGAACACTATTGGTTATGTCCAAATTTTATTAATACACAATAATTTCAAAAACATTGTAAGTTCAAATAAAGAATGATAATGTAGACCTTAGCTGGTGTTTATTGTGCATCAGAAATAGGCGACATTTAGATATTTCCTTAAAAAGTAGCATAAGAATTTTTTTTGTTGACTGTATCTTGAAAATGGTTTCTTCAAATTATGAATTGTTTAGTTTACCTTGTGAGCTCAACATTTTAGATGACATCTCTTGTTCGGGTCCATCTGCAATGATTGGAGGTTTTCTTTTAGCAATTCCTGGTTTGGAAGACCTGCGTGAGTCTTTTTTAAAGTTATAGAAATCAGAAAACAAGTTAACCATATGTTACAAATCATATTGTATATTTCGTGAATGTATAATTCAACTAAGTTATAGACACTCAAATTTTACTGTTTCCATGAAAATATGATTATAGATGCTGATTTAGCGCATTAATCTTTTTTGTTACAGAATGTATGACCAATATTGGCTTGTTTACTGTCCGAGCAAGAGTGATCCTCATTTCGGATGGAAGAACAACAACTTCCAGCTATTCGGATTCAAATTGTTATAATCATCAAATTGAAGAAGACCACGTAATCTAAAATAAAATTTGAATGTATAGATCTTTTTTATAGAAATATAACTCTGTGAATACGAAGCTAAATTTTCAACTGATTTATTCCAATTTTGAATAAGTTTTCTAATTTGACAGATAGGGAAAATTATACAGATTATAAGATCCATATAATGATAATTTCAAATGATATTTCTGAATATTTTTCAATCGTTGATATTCTTTATTTATTCTTTATTTATTACTATTATTTTTTCACTATTACTGTTGTTACTAAAATTCATCTTGCTCTTTTTACTAACACAATAACTCTTATATATAATAGAAGACGATGCAACTTTTAGAACAAGTGCAACAAATAGGGAATAAACATCCAATAATCTGTGTTCCAGTTGGAAAGGATCCAAATATTGTAAGCATAGAGACAGCAAAAAGCAAGAGCATGTCTATAATTAGCAAAACTTGCGTTTATGTATTTTTTGTGAAGATTTCGAGCGTTGCCCGAACTAAAATATAATCTAAAAATAATCCAAATATGTGAAGAGGACATAAATCATTGACCCCATTGACCCCTTGAGCATTTCACAGGTGGGATAAGATGCCTTGGAAAAGTAAGCATCTAATTACCGCTAACATAAAACGTACAAAAATTAAACTATACATGCATGTAAAAGAACACTGTTAAATTGCCGACGTATCTTAAAAATATTATATAATATAAACTGTGACATTCTACACTTGAAGCTTAAAACTCGACCAAAAATATATCTTTATCAAAATAAATCCTTATAATTATGTGATAATGTAAATATGCCCTCGATTTCGTAATATTGCTTGCTTTTTTAAATAAATGTTTGCAAATATGAAAAAAGCTTAATCATCATAAGACGAAACAAAGATAATATAATTTTATTTTAATGTATATCATTTACAGAGTTTACTTGGGACAATTGCCCATGGATCTCTGGGAGGAAAACTCGTACATCCTGAGGAAGCACGAAAATTTACCCGATACACTTTCGGAATGGTATATTATAAGAACTTCATAATGATAATTTGAACATAAAGATAATACTTATATATTGAACATATAAAACTATATCAATTAATGTTTTGTTTTTAAATATATTTTTTTCATTATATTGAATTAGGTGTGGTATTATTTTATTTTATAGCATATAAAGTATTGACATTATGTATTGAACATGTACTGGTATTGATTCGATCGTGTTTTATGATTAGAAGTTTTATATTTTAATGGAACATGCTCCTTTTGACCTTCTTTTTTTATTACGGTCTCCAATATGTTCTTTATTTTTATCTTTAAGCAGACTATTGTCTTTTACATGGTTTCAACTTTTAACAGTATCAGGCCTAATGGAAATTATGTTCTTGCATCTCTGTTTCTATTCATAAAATTAATTTTGTATGGAAAGTCCTTCTGCTTGCAAGGAATATTCTCTAATTGATAAACAAAGAATGTTGTTTGAGAGTGGACGCAAATCTAAAACATCGCCAATAAGGTTTCAAGGGGTTTGTAAAGGGGTTTGTCCTTTTAAGATTTTGTCATATATCTCAAAAGCTAAAAGTTATTTTTGAGAAAACTATGATCGAATTTTTTTAAACCAGGGATATATTCCTTAGGAGTCATAGTAAAGTGAAGGACCTTTTAGATTTAAGATTGGTAAACTGCGAAATTAGATCATCTCAAGTTTTTTGCCCTCTTCAAACCAACTCGCTGAAACAACCGATTCTTAGAATTTTATAACCTCAAGGAAATGAAATCTTTAAAGATATTTATCATGTTTCAAAACATATTTGTAATATGGCATACAAAAGTTCATCGATTAAGAATTAAAAAAAACATTACAATGATAAAAATATTTAAAGTGGTATATACATTTTTTATACCAAAAAAATTTATTAACAACAATTTGTATATATGGTCACGATCGAATATCAAAAGCACATAATTATATGAGAAAACAAGATCAACCAGAGAATAAGTGTCTAAGGTTTCAGCAAAGAAGAAGAGCATGCGCGAATCTTCGGGGGGGGATCAAAGACTGAAAGTTTAAGAAGGAGGAATGACACATAGAGGGAGTTAGGGTTTGAAATTTACTCGCTCAGAAAAACTGAAAGATTCTGAAGATATCGTCTGCAAATAAAAGACTTACATACACAGGCTGTATAAAATTACAACCTTGATTTTTGATGTTTTAACACAGAATATATAATGGTCTTCTTTACGTCATAGAAAGTTTTTGAATGGAATTGCAAAATCTCAAAGGCCTTATGAGATATAATATTATTATCATTATTATTTTTTGTATCCATCAGAACGGTTTATAAACTTATGCCCCCTTCCACCTCTGAACAGATATGCGAAGAAAAAGAACAGAAATTGCCAATAATTGAACTTTTTCTAATTCCAAGAGGCACACACTCCAGAGTCGAATATGACCTCGAAACTTTTATGACGAATCTGTTAACCATAATTCATTTCAGCAGCCTCTACAAACAAAATTGAAAACGAAATGTTTGTGGACCGACAGGCATGACTAACAGACCTACAGACCGTCAGACAGCAGCAACATGGACCCTCTCTTCTTTGAAATGGAGGGGGGGGGGTAAAAGTATTACTGTATTAATGTATGAAACATTTATTATGACAATAAAAGTTATTCCTTTTGTTATTTCCATGAGATGATTGCGAGAGAGATTATTGGTGAAATGCCATCAACAATGTGTTCTATTGATGACGTTAAAAATATTGTATTTTCTTCACGACGTCAGAGTTATGTAACGGAACATGATTTAGTGAGGCATAATTATTATATTTTTCTATAAGTTGTATTTTGTAAAAAAAACACAAGTAAAGTAATCGATCTCTTTATAGTGTTTTCATTCTAAAATTATACGTTTGCTTCAAAATAACAGTAGTTGTTTAACTGGTAATTTTTTTTTTTCATTTTTCAAAATAGGAAAATGTGGTTGAGATATTAAACAATAGACGAGCTTATGAAATGTTTGTGTACGGAAATGAGGAACATCTAGGGAAGGAGGTTTATACAGAATGCAACAAATTTCTGCCAGCACCAGGAACGAGGGTAAGCAGAGGTCCAAAGTGGCATTATAACGATCAGGACTCTAATGGACCCGGGACGGTTACGGGGCACCAGCAAAGAGGAACGAAAAGTGAGATGCTACGTCAATATACTTATTAATTCATTTTAAAATGTATCTTAATCATATCGATGAAATGGATAATTTCACTTCAATGATTTTTTTTTTATTAAAGATGGATGGATATACGTTGAATGGGACACAGGAATGAGATTTCCTTATGAATATATGGAAGACAGTCAAGAAGAAAATGTAATTATTCCTTGCAATGAACCCCGAATACTCCAAAGAGAAAACATTGCTGTAGGATGTCTTGTTAAAAGAGGTAATTTTGGTAAAATAATTCACTAAATAAACCTTTTCTTATACATGTTATCCTAAAATTATTTCGAATGATAAAGTAATTATACATTTATCAGGAACAATCTGAAAAATTGTGAACAGCAAACTTTTTTCCCTGAGAAAAGTGCATCTTTTTTTTTTTCATCATCAAATTAAAAGAAATTTATAAAACATCGATAATTACTACATATTAATTCATTTGCTGGCTCCACATTCCTGTTAATTTTTCGAT